ACTTCCCAGGTGAGGTGATGCCTCGCTGTGCTTCAGCTCTCACTGGTTGGGCTACATCCACTCACCAGCACCAACTGTTCGACATGCCCCAGTGAGATGAATCCAGTACCTCAGTTGAAAATGCAGAAATCACCCATCTTCTGTGTCGTTCATGCTGGAAGCTGGAGGCTGGAGCTGTTCCTATTCAGCCATCTTCAGCACCCCCCTGAACAATCCTTTGATCACTGTTTTATCTTAACACATGCTTACCATATATGCTAGATTAATACTGAAAATATAATGAATATGATTATATAAAATTATTGTGTAATTTAAAATGTTTACATTAATTCATTTTATTCTGTAAATATACTAAATTATTTTACAAATCTGCTTACTGGGTGATACAAGTTATGCACATTGTCCATGGAAATTGTTGTATTTATGACTTCTAGAGATTTTACACAATATGGAAACAATAACCGACTGAAGTTTCTGCAGGCAGTATTGTGCCCATAGCTCTACACAGCAGAGAGACAGAATCTGACCTTAGGTCAAGTCTTGGGGAGAGAACAAGAATCTGGATCAGAGCCCAGGTCATCAGAAACAGTTCCAAATTCCTAACTTGTACTGGTACCTCCAGAACTACATGGTCTCTGTGGTTGTCCTGCCCTTCGCTCCCACTGCAAAGACTACAACTAAATGAAAGCATTCATCTGTCTACCCTCGTTGATAGTTCCAACAGGACCAGGAGCTACAACAGACTCAAAAATGGGTGGAGACATTCCCAAGTGCCTGTCCTCATTGTCTATGGGGAGGCAAAGTTTGTGTCCAGCTCTATGACCCTGACTACATGAAGATGATTCTGGGGACATCAGGTGAGATTGAAACTTCATCCTGACTGCATCAGCTCTTCCCTGCTGATACATGCCCCTGGGTCTGTAAAAACCCAGTAGAAAGTGGCAGTTCAAACGTTAATGTCTAAACCCTGTTCCAACCATCCACAAAGCCCACAGTCTAGGCTACAGCCAGAAGTATTTACTGAGTATTGAATGTTTAAAACAACCGTGTGGGGGTAAATTTGCTGTTTTTCCTTTTCTTTCTTGCTGTTTTAAGCTAATAGAGTTAATCTGAAATGTACATTGCCACATGTCTCATAGATACGTGGGTATATGCATATGGTACTGGTGTTGATCTATAATTTTGAGATTTTGGTTCTTATTCTCATTTTCACTCATCAATGAATTATGACATGGATTTGGTAACTATAACTCCTTCCAGTCCTGGGTCACTGGTAGACTAAGCCACCACCAATGGCTCTGTCTTACCCTCTGGCCTGGAGGACATTGCCTATGTTTCTTACCAACTCCTTCCTAGATCTGTGGGTGTTCTGGGGCTGGAACACTGAATCTGACTTCCTGAGCCCAAATTGATCTTCATGGCAGACTTGGAAAGGGACAGGAGGCAAAATGGGAAATGACACAGGTCAAACTGCCAACACACAGACATTATCAACTGATAGAAGCCCGTGGTCTGAACCACAGCTGCCTCTGGGGATGCCAAATTTAGTAGTAGTAGCTCCCAGTTTCCTGTAAAGCCTTGTCTTATCTCTCAGACTCCAAAATTCCAGAAAACTGCAAATTCCTGGCTCCCTGGATTGGTATGTACATGTAAACTAGGACCGCTCCCCAGTTCCCCATCTGCTCCCCAGTTAGATTTGCCAAGAGCAAACTCTTTGGCTCACAGAGAACAAAAGGTGAGGGGCCACCACTGTCATGACCCATCCCTAATCCAGTTTCATGTCCCTTCTTTTAACAAGACCCTCACCCTGTCCTAATGCTGGTGTGAGCCCTCCTCAGGCTCAGCTTCTTCCACTTCACTTCTCAGTTCTCTCCAGACATCCTCAGCCTGATATTTATTTAACATCTGCCCACAACTCTTTCCAAACTTCATCTCACAACTGTCCTAATCACAGGGATGTATCAGCCCGATTAGGACATTCCCATACCTGAAATGCACCTGCTTTCCCTGCCATAGCCCACGAAGTACCTTCTAGGTTTTCTCCCCTCAGAAACCACCTTGTCTCCTTCCCAAGAGATCCCTTTCATCCCGCCTCTCCCCAACACACATACACACACCCATCTCTTGGCCCAGGGTATGGTTTGCCCCTGCTGAATGGGCAGAAGTGGCACCAGCACTGGCGGATGCTGACCCCAGCATTCCATTATGACATCTTGAAGTCCTATATGGGGCTCATGGCGGACTCCATACACATGATACTGATGAGTCCATCTTTCTGCCCTCCAGACATCCAATCACAGCATGCACTCTCACCAATTTCACTCTCAACTCTGTGTCCCACAGACAGCCATAGACACAGCCAAACAGAATAACACACTCAGACCATTACTGTGAGAGTAGGGTTCCCCAAAAGTGATGTGATAGCAGAGCACCCAGGCATCAAGTTGCATCCACACTTTGCTCATTGTCACAGGGAATGAGGATCACAGTGGATAAATTCTGCCTCCCACTTTGAAATCTTCAGTGCAGGGGACTGGAGAGATGGTCAATCTGCTGGACATCAGGACACCCTACCCCTGATGGCCTTGACAATGTCATCTCCAGTGTCAGGATGGACAGGCCAGGATGTCACTCACTGAGGCTCTGGCCTGGGACCCAGAGCTTTCTGCATGGATTTGAGCCGTGCATGCAGTGAAAGGGACACCAACTCTTTATTCTCAGAGCCAGAGCTGCCATACCCTTCTCTCCTTTCCAGACTCTGATTTCTCACTCAACTGTGCTCAGCAAATATTTCACGAATGAAAATTAATTGAAGTCCCTGATGTGCCTCCATTAGGCACCTATATGAGACTTTTTTTTTTTTTTTTGAGACGCGTAGTCTCGCTTGTCATCCAGGCTGGAGTGCCGTGGCGCAATCTCGGCTCTCTGCAAACTCCGCCTTCCAGGTTCACCCCATTCTCCTGCCTCAGCCTCCCAAGTAGCTGGGACTACAGGCGCCCGCCACTATGCCCAGCCAATTTCTGTATTTTTAGTAGAGACGGGGTTTTACCATGTATATGGGCCTTTTAGACTTCCTTTTGTTTTGACACTTGTCCCCCTAAAGTTGAGATGCAATCAGTCTCTCAGAACAAGCTCAGTTTTCAGAACACTGAAGAGTACTCCTATTATTTATTCATAAACAACAACAAAAAATGTTTCCAGCCAACTATAGAGTATAACTGAATCTAAGAATACAAAACTTACTTCAGGCTATTGTGAGCAAACATGGTTAATGCTGCATTAAAACTTTGAAAACTAGGTATTGGTTTACACATATTGATTCACAATATGAATATCAGCACTACATCTGCTCTTAAAATGAGGGATCCCAACCATGATATCTGGAGATAAAGGGAAAAGCCAAGCCCTATTAGCAAAAGACTTCTGGGGAATTAAGAAGGTCCATGCCCTCTCCCACTACAGGACAAATGGGAAGAGCTCATTGGCCAGGACTCCCCTCTGGAGGTCTTTCAGCACGTCTCCTTTATGACCCTGGACACCATCATGAGGTGTGCCCTCAACATCCAGCTGGACCGGTCAGTGATAACTCTCCAGCTGTGGGGTTCATGTTCTTATCAACTGCATGGACATACCTGAGAGGCAGGTGGGGCAGTTTGTGGGCTCACCTCCACAGGAAGAAAGACTCAGCCTATGACAAAGCTCTAATCCCAGACCAGACCAAACCATGCTTCAGCTAAGGATTCCTTATCCCTAGCACAGGTAGACCCTGGCTGTTCACAATATCTTATAAAAACCTCAGGATCACAGAGCTCTAAGACAGAAGAAACAAGTGCCTCAATGATGCCTGTCCCATGTTTGAAGCTATCTCCATCCAGATTCCACATTGCCTCCAAACCAGAGGCCCCTTTGACTTTGGTCTCCTCTGCATCCTTTCCCTCAGGGATATCCAATCCTACATCCAGGCCACTGGGGACCTTAAAAAGCTGTTTCCTGCACGAGCAATGTCTTTCATCAGAATGACACTATCTACAGCCTGACCCCTACCAGCTGCTGGAACCACCGTGCCTGCCAGCTTGTCCATTCCTCTTCTTGTCTCCTCCCTTCAACAGGCACAGCTAAAGGAGGCTGCCCTGACTCATCACACACAGCCAGGCCCCCTGTGGCCCCTGCAGAAACTGGGACACACCCATGACGGAGATTTCCATAAATCGGGGGCTGGGAGCTGAGATGTTAGGGGCAGGCACTGTGCAGGCATTTCCCTGTGTCCCCACATGGGGATGGTTACCTGAGACCCCATCCAAGCAGCATTCAAGCAGCAGCCCCGTGGGTTGTGCCATTGCAGGGAGGCCTGCCCTGCCTCACACAGCACTAGAATTTTTACTCCTGAACATGCATCCACACCCACACTCATGCTGAGGTCTACCGGGCACCCACATGGGGGCAGGTGAACCGCTGGGCCTCCTGGGGGCTGCTGACACTCTCGGCTCTGTATAGTAACCACTGTTCTGGAACAGATCGAGCGATCCAACTGAGGAAGGCTCACCTGAAAGAGGAGGGGGAGCTGGAGAAGGTCAGGAGGAAGAGGCACTTGGATTTCCTGGACATCCTTCTCTTGGCCAAAGTGAGTGTGTGTAGGAGAGGCCAGAGGCTTTTCCCAAAGCACAGAGCAAGAGACTAACCCTGCACTCTTACCTCGGCCTCCCCAGATGGAGAATGAGAGTAGCTTGTCAGACAAGGACCTCCGTTCTGAGGCAGACACATTTATGTTTGGAGGCCATGACACCACAGCCAGTGGCATCTCCTGGATCCTCTATGCTCTGGCCACACACCCCAAGCTTCAGCAGAGGTGCCAGGAGGAGATCTAGAGCTTCCTGGGGGATAGAGCCTCCATCACCTGGTGAGTGAGGGTTCAAGAGATGCAGTAGTCATGCTCTCTCTATAGGGGGGATTCACCTGGTCTTCCCAGGCCCTGCTGATGTTCAGGATGGACTTTGTTTCAGGGACCACCTGGACAAGATGCCCTACACCACCATGGGCATCAAGGAGGTGCTCAGACTCTACCCACTGGTGCCAGGCATTGGCAGAGAGCTCAGCACCCCCATCACCTTCCCTGATGGGCGCTCCTTGCCCAAAGGTACGAACTTCCCCCATCCACTCACCTAAGCTCTCCACAGGGAGATGCGGAGGGTCAGGAATGCACCTGTGCTTCAGCAATTGCAAACCTCTCTGAGCCTCCCTTTCCTTGTCAAAAAATGAAACATATTTTATAGTTAGGATGAAGAATTTGAAATGCCTGGCAAAGAGCTTGAACCACCAAAAGTCTGATAAATAAATGTTAGCCTCTGCATGTGGCCTTGGGAACAAAAGCCCTAAAATTCTATTCCATGAGATGTGGAGGGCTAGAAAGAATCAGACACAGGCACAGGGAGATGTGGTTCTTTCCTGATCGGGTTAAGGCAAATGAGGGAGATCAGGAATCTTAAGTCATGGGTCAGCTGTTGTCCAGCTTCTGAGGAGCCCTCAGATTGATGACAGAGAGCCACTGATGACCATATTTGAGACCACTACAGTGGACAGAATCCACCAAGGCTCAACCCCCATTGGGTCTGGTCTCAGTCTTGTCATATTCTAGCTGTGTGACCCCAGGCAAGACAATCAGCCTCTGAGACTGAGGTAGCTCCTCTGAAATTTGGGAATAAAGGAATGTCTTCCTTGGATCATTGTTGTGGGTATTGAGTGGGTTCATGTATATTCTCCAGTGGCCCTTGGAGGCATTTGATGAAGGTAGGTTCGCAGTGCACTTACTACAAACAGTAAAACACCAATGCTTTCTTGCTTCTTATTTCTGGATTCATAGTTTTCTACTCATTCTTTGAGCTCACATGCTTAACCAAGCTCAGCACCCCTGTGTCATCCTGCTCAAAGTGATTATTTGAGGCAAAACTTGTCCCCTGCTGCGTGAGGCACCAGGCCACCTCATGGATATGATCCATCTTCTCTCTCTCTTCCACACCCTCCCCACAGGATTGAAAGTCACTCTTTCCATTTGTGGCCTTCACCACAACCCAAAGATGTGGTCAAACCCAGAGGTAAGAAGGCCTTGGAGGAGGATGATCTCTCAGGCCCAATACATTCTCCTGCTCAGGGGATCCTGTCTCCTTATGGGTAGATAACAGAGGTTGGACTCTTATCTGTCCTGCCCTGGTGCTCTCTCTGCAGGAGTTTGACCCTTCCCGCTTTGTATCGGGTTCTGCTTGACACAGCCATGCTTTCCTGCCCTTCTCAGGAGGATCGAGGTGAGGCACCATAATGCTGGTAATGGAGGTGGAGGTGGAGGTTGAGAAACAGGGGGAGGCTCTGGGCACACAGCTGATGCTTATGGCTCCCTAATTCATATGTGCCATCTTCACCTACACCTTTGGATGCTGGTGTTTGTGGGAAGGAAGTCTGATGCTGATGTCTCTGTGTACAAAAGAAAGACGGCATTTCAGGGCACAGGACGGCGACCTCGCTGCCTCTGCTTTTTCCAGTGTCCAGCCAAAATTCACTGAGTGTGTGTGTTCTGAACTTTCATGTATTCTGGTGTTTTCCTCATTTGGGGAGTATGAATTTTCAATATTAGACTTGTTCAGTCAATTAAATTGTATATATTAGCATTTCTCAATTTTCAGAGATATTAAAGTCAATTTCTCTCTCCCCTACATATTGCCATTGCAGCACACTACCATTTCTACTTAATTCACCCATGTGTTATGTGAAAAAACTGAAATATTTGCATATATTTAGAATTAAGGTGCCTTGCTAGTCCTCCCTTACAAGCCAAAAAAGTGAACGGTTAAAACAACCCTTTGCAGAAAGTTTTATACCCATATGCATTGTCTCAAATATTTTGCTGTCTTGTCCAACAAATGTCCACTGTGTTATAGTGTTCACATATTTGTGTCTCCTTTCCCACTTGGCAAAATTGTTTTTGTGCAGTGGGTTCTCTATGCCACGATCCCATAGGCCACATAGCAAAATGTTGACAAACACATGAAAATGAGAACAATAAACTGCCTTTGAGGAAAACCCTCTTTTCAGTATATGACAAATAACATTTGAAGACTTATGTGTGTGGATTATGAAACACACTTGAAATAGTTGCTGAGTTGGACATATGCACTCCAAAATAACTGCTGTGGAAATCCTCAGGGCTACAGGAAACATCGTATGAAAAGCAAATGCCAAGAACTAAGTAAATTGTTAGTAGAAACATAGTTTTTCTAAATGAGTAATTATGTGAATTCTCCCGATGGTGAGTCCACTTTCACACAATGGTTGTTAAGCAGATGTTCCAGAAAGTCCTTCTCCAGCACTGTTTTATCCCAGGATGCCAACTTCCTCCTAAACAGTGGCTCTTAATCATGTTGCTGCCACTAGAGGACAGGAGAGCATCCCCAAGCTCCATTTCTAGTCCAGAACTAATATTTACTCTCAGTGTATTTCATTCTATTTTATTCTTTTTAAACTTAATTAACTTCATTCAAATATATAAGTATTTATTAAGCCTATCTCTGTGGGTTAGGCCCTGTGCAGCATGATGGGAAAACAGGAAAAAGGTACTGTCCCTGCCTCTAGGAGTTCATAGTCAAGAACAAAAATGTGTTGTTATGTAGAAACACATTGTATGCTCCAGGCACACATCACTCCCTCATCCATCCTTTCACTTATTCAGTCACTGAGTGACTGAAGGACTGGCCTGCCCCTCCACACCTGTGGGCATTTCTTGTCAGGTGGAAGGAGAGACTTGGGAAAAGAAAGAGACACAGAGACAAAGTATAGAGAAAGAAAAGCGGGGGCCCAGGGGACTGGCGCTCAGCTTACAGAGGACCCACGCCAGCACCGGTCTCTCAGTTCCCTCAGTATTTATTGATCATTATCTTTACCATCTCAGAGAGGGAGGGAGAACTGGCAGGACAATAGGGTAATAGTAGGGAGAGGGTAAGCAGGAAGACATATGAATAAAGATCTCTGTGTCATGAATAAGTTTAAGGAAAAGTGCTGTGCTTTGATATGCGTGTATGCAAACATCTCCATAAACATTTCCGTGCATTAAAGAGCAGCATTGCCGCTAGCGCTAGCATGTCTCACCTTCATCCAGCCCTAAGGTGGTTTTCTCCTATCTCAGTAAATAGAACATACAATTGGATTTTACATTGAGACATTCCATTACCCAGGGATGGGCAGGAGACAGATGCCTTCCTCTATCTCAACTGCAAAGAGGCCTTCCTCTTTCACTAATCCTGCTCAACACATACCCTTTATGGGTGTCAGGCTGGGGGACAGTCAGGTCTTTCCCTTCCCATGAGGCCATATTTCAGACTATCACATGGGGAGAAACCTTGGACAATACCTAGCTTTCCTAGGCAGAGGTCCCTGAGGCCTTCCACAGTGTTTGTGTCCCTGGGTACTTGAGATTAGAGAATGGTGATGACTTTTACCAAGCATACTGCCTTCAGGCACTTGTTTAACAAAGCACATCCTGCATAGCCCCAAATCCATTAAACCTTGAGTCACCACAGCACATGTCTTTGCAAGCACAGGGTTGGGGGTAGGGTTACAGATTAACAGCATCTCAAGGCAGAAGAATTGTTCTTAGTACAGAACAAAATGGAGTCTCTTATGTCTACTTTCTACATAGATGCAGTAACAGTCTGATCTTTCTTTTCCCCACAAGTGACTCATTGAGTGTTCCTGTTTCTGGCACTGTCCTAGGCACTGGACTGTTTATGGATGGAGCACAGATGCCAACTGGGGGCTTGAGGTGGGAGAGGCACAGTTGGCAGGAAGTGAGAGGCAGCTGCGTCCTGGCCTTAGCCTTGAGGATGTGGCAGGCATAGGTGGAGTGAGGATGCTCCCAGCCATCTCCACATGAACAGGGCTAGGACGTGGGCTGGATGTCCATGGTCCAGGCTCCTGGTAAGAGTTGGGTGAGGCAACAGCTACGGAGGGCTTGGCTGCTACTTGGGATGCTGTCCCCTCTTTGAGGAGTGTGGGAGAATCTGAGCTGGTCTGTGGCTTCAGTGTGGAGGAAGGGCAAGCAGGGACCCAGAAAGTCCAGGTGAGAAGACTGAGGGACAGCAAGGAGGGACATTTCTGGAGTACAATTAGAAGGCTACAAGTGCTGGTAGGCAGATGGGTAAGCCTGGACCATGGAGTGGGAGGAAGGTGGGGTAACAGTTGAGGGCCACCTACCTAGTGTCCTCCCAGGAAGCCTTCCCACTACCCATCTGACTCCCCTCTCCCACCCATCTGGGTCTCTCTCTAAGAATCCAGGTCTCTGTGTACCCCTACATGGAGAGCACTGGAGCGTGTGCCTCCCCTACCTTACAGGGACCTGAACTGGGCTCTATACTGGGGAACCACACACTGTCTGTGGAAGAGTGAACAAACCATTGATTAACTCTATGACAATTTGAGAGGAGCCGGGCACATTCCTCAGCCCCGGGCTCAAAACAAACAAGCCCAGTACAAACACATCCCATCCTCCCATCCCACCACATATCGCCATATATCTCTCAAACTTCCTGAGCCCAGTACAAACACATCCCATCCTCCCATCCCACCACGCGCAGATCTTATTCTGGCAGGGGACAAAGACAGAGAGCCCAGCCCCAACCTACTTACGCAGAATTCGTAATGGAAGCTCTTTTTCAGACAGTAACACCCAATAG